AGGGATGGCAGGAAGGGGATGAACAGTGTGGGGTGGGGGGGAGTTAGGGAGGATGATAGGCATAGGAATGGATGCAGGGGAATGGGGGTGTAGGGATGGAGGTGGAGGTAGGGATGGAAGGAGGGGGGTAGGCTGTGAACCATGGTGCTCCGGGATAAGGCTTAATGAAAATGGCCAGTGACCGGGAAATTGGCAGACGTAGTGAGCAGGGGGTGCAGCCCTCTAGTTTCCCTTGAAAACAGTATTTTTTGCTCAGATCCATCATTAGTCCTCTGAGGGTATTTCTACACTATGGAACAAAGTTGAATTAAGACTATGTTAATTGCGTAGCTGAAGTCGAAGCAGCTTAAGTCATTTTTTGGCGCTGACTATACTCTGCCTTCGACTTCCCTTACTCCTCATGAAAGTAAGGTTACTGGCATCAACCTGAGTGTCCCTCTCACTTTGAATTAGCTGTCTTAACTAGACCCGCTAATTCATACCCTAGAAGATTGCCAGCATTAGCCTCAATCTTCCTCTGTAGCATAGATGTTAATGCCAAAGTTAATGCCAGATTTTCAAATACTACAATGTGCTACTATGAGAGTGTAACAGTGTGAATTAAGACGCTTTTTTTAAAAGGAAGTTTTAAATCAACTCAAGGGTCAGAGAGTGGAGATGGATGGCAGGAGAGAGATCGCTTGATCATTACCTGTTCAGTTCACTCCCCCTGGGGCACCTGGCATTGGCCACTGTCGGCAGACAGGACACTGAGCTAGACGAACCTTTGGTCTGACCCAGTACGGCCGTTCTTATGTTCTAAGGGTCACCACATGACCAATCTGAAAGTTTACAGCAAAACGAGCTGAACTTCTATTTTTAAGAATCAGCACAGTCATTTAGGCCTTGATCTTGATACCTGTTATATAGGGTTCCACTTGCACTGAGCTAGGCTTGGGCATAGGAATCAGCTTGCACTCATTGGGGCGATATAAAAGGCCCATTCTGCAACCTCTACTCATGTTAAGCAGGTGTTATTTATGTAAGTAATTCCTTTGACATCATTGACTTTTTTGTATGAGTAAAGGCTACATCTCTACAAATATATTTTTCAGAATCAGGCCCAATATTTGTAAAGCATTTTAGGATCCTGTGGTATTAATTGGGGTCTTTTAGTCTTACCCCGGTTGTGAACTTAGCTGTTATAAAGTATGTGAAAGTTTATGAAAGGTTCCAACCCTTTCTTCCCCACTATGAAGGATTATCTGACAAAACAGAACTAACATATGCCCTTTGTGAAAAAGGGATTTCAATAGGTTCTGGTTAAATTTATTCTGTTAACCACTCCATTTGAATTCCAGAATATCTTCTGATTTTTTCCCCTTTGTGTATCTCTTTTGGCATGGATTTTTGACTATGTTTGCCATGGGATGAAGTAGGCTAATGTCTCTGTACACAAACCCTCAAGTCTTATTTAACTGTACATAACATGCACCACTGCAACATGGTCATGTTAATTCCTTTGATTCTCTGGAACCATTTATTCTATCACAATTAACACAACAATACTTTGTGAAGTAAGACCTTGGCTAAATGTAGTCTTGACATTACTACAATATAAAGTCAATTAAAGCAGGGTTAAAGATTGCATGAACTTTTCTTTAGAACCAACAAATCTCCAGCACGATCAAACTGCTCAGTTCTCTCTAGAATTAATGTTATTTTTAGTGTATGTTCCTCTTCCCACATTTAGCTTCATCTCAAAAGCTGCTCAACTCCGCGTCACTCTAGTATATTTACAAAATCTCCCTGAATCCCTGTCGTGAATATTGAGTAATCTCTACTCTTGTGTATTTTACTAAATCAAGATATCATCATAGAATCATAGAACTGGAAGGGATCTCATTGAGTCCAGTCCCCTGCCCTCACAGCAGGACCAAGCACTGTCTAGATCATCCCTGATAGATGTCTGTCTAACCTGCTCTTAAATATCTCCAGTGATAGAGATTCCACAACCACCCCCCCAGGCAATTTATTCCCATGTTCAACCATCCTGACGGTTAGGAAGTTTTTCCTAATGTCCAGCCTAAATCTCCCTGGCTACAATTTAAGCCGATTGCTTCTTGTCCTATCCTCCGAGGTCAAGGAGAAGAATTTTTCTCCCTCCTCCTTGTAAACATCCTTTTAGATACCTGAAAATATAATGATCACTTTAATCTCCTGCTACATATTAATATTTAGGAACATTCACACGGGAAACAGATTAGCAGAATAATAATTTTTAAAAGTGTAATAGTGATAAGTGGAATAACTTACCTCCACTTTAAGCGTCACACAGCCTTTTAAGAACTCCTGAATGTTACTGATGCAATCTGCTTCATTTTTGGGCTCCAGACAATACTAAAGAAACAAAACCCAGACATGCTGAC